AGTGGAAACTTAGATACGGTGGCATTAACCGTTTCAACATCATCCATGAATATCCTGCCTTTTCCTCACTACTGCAAATGCCTTGAAAGTATCGAGAAGAGTTTTATAACGGGTCAGTGTATTTAGGGCAGTAATCTAGCTCAGCAGTAATCAATCTGCTGGGTTATTTCAAGTTGCACAAATAGGTTACCGTTGAGATTAGCCTCAAGTAGCTTTAAACCATGACCTTCTACAAAGAAACGCAGCATCGATTAAACTTGAAGGTAACTCTGACATGGAGTCAATTTCTTCTGGTATTGTGAGCTTTCATGTAGCAATAACACGTATTAACATGTATTATAAAATTACAGATTTATTTCAATGCCTAGGAATTCTGCCTCCAGGCTTAGCCACGTGAAGCAGCTGTGGCATTTATGAAAATCCTCTCCAAGGAGGTGTCTAGTAAAGCCTCTTCCCAAATCCTGCCCTCATGTGTAAATCACACAGTGTGGACATTTTGCATAGGTTAACACTGGATTGCTGACACCTCGGCCTGTAAGAAATGAAAGTAAATGTAACCCCTGGAAACATTACAGCAAAACGATGTGGTAAAATTGTAACATGCGGGTAATACCAGCTAAATGTTTCAAAGTTTCAAAACTCAATACAGCAAATACCAGCAAAGGCCCTTGTCTGCAATGCAGAGTTCAGCGGCTGCACCATCGCAGAAGAATGTTCCGGCTCCGTGGTGCCGATGACCCAAGGGACACACACTCAGGACCGACGAGATGACAGCAGAGGGATATCACAGCTAGTTATTAAAGTAAAGGTTGCCAGGCACGCCTCAAATTCATGCCGCCCTGGGTCTAAGGCCATGCTGATGAAACCCTGCGTGTTCCCAGTAACCTCATCACCCTCCCCGGAGAAAGGCTTGTACGTTACAGGTACTTGGTTAAGAAGGAAAACCCTAACGGGAACACTGATTGGGCCCATCCACATAGACTGCTCCATTTAAACCTCCCCATAAATCTGTGCGCTGGACATGTGTGCCCTCACTCTTCACCGACGAGGGAGCGCACTCCGAGAGGGCAACTAACCACCCCAGGACACAGCAGCTAACCGCCGAGCCCGGCTCTGCGGCCTGCAAGGGTGCCTCCTCCTGCCCACAGGCCAGTGCTGCCAGGCACCGGGTGCAGTTACTGCTGTCAGGACTTTCAGCAGAAATGTCACATCACAGGAAGCATCCGGCTGCTTTCTTTGGCTACACACACTTTTTAATTGTGCAAAGAAAGGCACAGTCTTAACATTCCCTTGACACGCACACAAAGCAATATGCCAGTATACTAGTGGTCACGACCGGCTGGAACAGTCAGTGAAGGGCCTCGGTGCCCCACGGCTGTCTGGCAGGCGGGCGAGAGGATGCTCCTGCAGTCGGACAGTGGACATGGACCACGTGAAACACACGAGGGCACTTTGCAAGTGCTGAGGGGCTATGGCAACATGAGCTCTCACTGCGAGCCTCGTGTCTGGGTGTGAAAACGCACATCGGTGTCAACCCCTGTGCGCTGCCCACGACGCTGTTCAAGACATCCCTGAAAACTGTTGAAATTGTGGCACATGATACGGGAACACATGACCACAGCAAGAGAAACTGCTACTCTACACAAGGGGGTTAAAGACTTCACAGGATCCAGTCAGAAACTGAGTCAATAAAGGAACACTAGCTTTTCTCCTTGTCCACTGCGCGGTGGCTGTGTTTTTCAATGTAGGGTGCTTTAGAAATATACTCACACAATTACTTTTCAGGGTAAAAAACGGACACCCATTCATGCCAACATTTTTCTGCATAGGGAAATCACCCTTTTCTAAAAGAGAGGCAAACTAAAATTCCTCCCCAATAAAAAGACAGTTTGGATAGTCCTTTGTGTTCAGTGAAATGAATGTTTAACCACAAGACACTGCACTGCTTCTGCGGAGTGCGTGTCCGGCAAGAGGGGCCGGGAGAAGTCCAGAGAGCCCCGGCAGGGAGGAAGAACATGGCCTTCACTGGCAGTGTGCGCAGTAGCGGGTGTCAGAATGTGAGTCTTTGCCGCCCCCCCCCCCCCCAGGGGCCTTCCTCCCTCCGTTGACCATAAAAACTCAGTGTCAGCAAGAAACCGCGACAGTCTGTGAAGCTCCCCACGTACCTGGTGTAATGTTATATGCACAGTGGGCCTTAAACACTCAGTAACATTAACGGGATTAAAAGTGGCTGCTGAAGCTCACACAACACAGAGAGCCTCACGGCCACTGTGGGGGAAGCCGCGGTGAAAGGGGGGCTTGAAGGCTGGTAAACGGTGATTCGGCTTCCTCGGGGTGACTCCAACGTAGTTTAAGCAGCTCACAACCAGATTGAATAACTCAAAAACTACTTTAAGAAAATCACTGACTGCTAATAATGCCACAAGTTGAACTGAGATGTTCGCAGACCTCTTAAAATGGTGTAACTGACCACTGGAAGAACAAACTTGACTTTCCTGAGGGTTTCAGACCGCCTGGGAAATCTGTCACCACGAGGGGTTTGTTCCCATGTATCTTTTTTCCCTAGGAATCTAGCTGGTTAACATTTTTTGGGGTCACGTTGCACTTGAAATTTATTCACGGCAGGATGTTTGGGAGGCATGAACTGAGAAAAGTACTCTCAGCAAATTAACCTTGCAATAAGGTCTAAGGCACAGATACTATTACGAGCGCTTTCATTCAAAGGAATCCCGAGTGATTCTCCCAAACAAGATTTCTGACATCACTGACAAACCAGGTCGCAGTAGATTTCAGTGGATTTTTCACGTACGCGAATAATGAAATCATACGCGCTTCTGACTGAAGCAGAAGATATTTGAAACATCAAAACAGTGTGGTGGCAGCCAGACTGCAGACGCCCGGGTGAAATGTTTTCCCTTAAGATAAATAAGGCCGTGGCAGCTGCTGCCGGCACTTAGCGCCCCTGCCCATATGGAACATGCACAGAGTGTTGAATGGGGCAGACAGTTTTCGTGCGTGAAAAGTTTTATGTTTGCTTCTTAAAGGGAGAAGTTTCTGCTTAGAAGAAAACCAGCTTCTTACCAACCACTTACAGAGTTATGTATGGACACAAAAACATACCTGTGAACACAAAAACCACTGTGTGCTGAAGGAACTTCCTCTCCAAAAAGAGCCTTGGAACTTAAATTCCCAAATTTGAAGAAATTTGTTTCCCACTATAATTGTCCCTGCAAGCAACTTTCAATAGCCCTTGTATGTAAGGTATATATGGAAGTGTTAGTATATTCTATTTATTTTCTAACTACATTAGAAACTTGAAGCCAAATGAGACCCTAATTAATTATACAAATCCATTTGTCCTTGATATCTCACTGCACAGATAATTTAAGATTTGGGTAATAAAACAGAACAGTTATCACAACTTCAGGAAAGGCCTTTGGTTTGTCCACTGTCCTGTGTGGAGTGGCCCCTGTCTTGCTGGGACTGTGCTGCCCACAGCCGAGAGGATGGCACTGGCTGGGGGCGAAGGTTAGAAGCTACGATCATGACAAAATTCTACTGAAATCTGAGCCGCTCTATAAAAATAATACTGGTCCAGACCAAGACAAAGCACTTGGACATGTCCCAGTAAAGGGGTTAGAGATAATAAACAGAAAGTGCTATGGAAGGAATAAGAAGAAGAAATAGGTATACCTAACACCCAGAATAATATAGTAATATTTGCATTTAGTATCTTATAATCCCTTCGCAGTGACGAAAACCAGTGATAGAGCAGTGATCAAGGTTATGCGAATGGCCAAAAATATTTCTCAACATACAGCCGTGAATTAAATGATGATACAACTGCACTCAACCAACCACTTTGAAACGTTGCAATTCACAATGAAAACCCACACAAAGTCCCCCAGGCATTTCATAATCACACCCTCAAACCGGCAATCACATGAAGTTGAGGGGGAAAATTCCAATCCTTTGAAAGGCGCTTGTTCTCTAGTAAAGGCCCATACTGGCTAATGGTCACCGGGAACAGAAAGCTCACGGATGCAAGTTTTCATCCCACCACCAGCCGAGGAAGCTGCAGAGTCATCGTTTGCCTGGTGGGGTTCGCAGCTGTCTTTCTGGGCTCCATGTCACTGACAGGGAGCGAGCAAGGGCGCGGGAGCAGCAAGGGCCCAAACCTGCCCTGGGGCATCCGTTCCCGCAGCTGGAGACAGGGTGCTGACTGTTCCCTGCACAGCATCCCAGCTCGGACTCGCACGGGCAGTGGCCGGCCTCGCAACCTGACGGGCAGCCGGTCTCCGGCCGGTTTCACCTCGGCCCACCGGCCAGTCTGCTTCAGAAACGCATTGCCTACCGTCCCCTCTAGTCCGGGATTAATGGGACAAACAAACAAAAAAAGAATAATAAGAAAAATGGTAACAAGGGCCGACCCTCCACAGCAAAAAGGCCATTAGGAAGAACTGGTCACACTTTGTATATACCCTTGATTAAGAGACTCCTCTCGAGATGTTGGCGATCCTCTCTCGCCTGGATTAGAACTATTTTTAAAGGGAAGTGTGGCCTCGGGCGATACTTGCAGGCAGCTTTTAAGTGCATTTCCAGCGGCGATGTGTTGAGGCACTGGCTGATGAATTTAAGGCAATAAAATGTTGAAGTGCTGTTATTCAGAAGGGGGGAGGACGAGGGAGAGTGTTTGGATTTTCAAAACAGACAGAGTTGTTTGACTCTGAGGACCTGAAGCAAAGGTATTTTCTGAAAGGCGAACTAGTTTCACGGGCTCTGCACCAAACACGGGGGCACAGATGGCGTCCCCACAACTTTGCCAGCCGCACAACTTCGCCAACCATTAAGTTACACTGGCCTGAAGCTGGGAAACTGCGGGGGGTGGGGGTGGGAGGAGGAGGAAGTTTATTTTAATTACGCTGCACAATAAGCTTTCTGAGCGCGAGTCAGTCCTCTCCCACCGGCCGGCCCTCACACGGAAACGCAAGCTAACTTACCGGCGCTCTGGCCACTGGGGAAGCTGGGCTGGTGGGGTTACTCTCCTGCGGAGCCTGGGGAGATTCCTCCGGTCCCCGAGTCACGAGAATTCTGAAATGCTGCTGCCCCGCATTCTGATCTTGCCTGATCTTAAACGTGCAGCCCTGACCCTGCGGAGTCCTTTCCACGGAGTTCGTCCTGTGGATTTCAGGGGCCACCCTGCGGCCCCGAGGTGGTGTCTCTGGGTGTCCCTGGTGGTCCCGCTCCTCCGTGGGGCTGCTGCGTTCTGCGCGAGGCTGTGTGGGGTACGAGGTGCTCCTTTCCAGCCGGATTCGGGGGTACCGCACCAACCTGTCCCCCTTGGTGCCGGTGAACCCAAAGTTGAAATCACCACCCGAACCTGACATGCCCGGTGGTGGCTGCTGCAGCTGGAAGACAAAGCACCTCTTCCCGGAACTTCCAGAAGCATCTGGAACGTGCTGTAGGGACCAGCGCCTGGGCTCTGGAGCCGAAGGGTTGCCCTGGCCGTCGGCCCCGAAGGGCATCAGCCTCACCTGGCGCACGTCGGCGCTGGAGGCTCGGTGCTGGATCCGGAGCCCACCACCTTCGGGTCCCTGGGTGGCTGAAGGCTCGGCCTCTTCGCGGCCATCTGCAGCGACAGGGCCCCGTGCTCGGCTGCCACAAGTGCCGTTGACTAGGGGGCGTGCACTCCTGGTGGTCCTGGGAGGAGAGCTCTCGCGGGTCTGGGGCTCTGGAGGCTCCGGGCAGTGGCCCAGAGACACGGACCCCGCATCGCCGTCCGGGCCCTCAGGCGGCCCGCACGCGTCCGGGGCCCCGTCCGCCGCTTTGCGCTGCAGCGAGATCTGCACCGAGGAGCTCCGGGTGGGCCGCGCGTCCACGGGGCTCAGCAGCTGCGGGATGAACATGGACGAGCTGCGCTTGAGCGCGCCCACCGCCTCCGGCAGGCCGCCACCGCCGCCGCCTCCTCCGCCGTCCTCCGCCGCGCGGGGGGCGAAGAGGTGAGGGCCGCCCCGCCGCGGCAGGGTGTGGAATGCCATGAAAAAGTCGTCTTCTCTCTCCTGGTCGAGGATCTCCGACTCGGGGGCCGTGTTGCTGCGGCCGGAGCCAAAATGAAACCGAAGCCGATGGGCCATGGTGCCCAGGGGGGCAGGGAGGGAGAGGGCGAGCGGCGACAGCCCGCCCGGCACTGCCAGAAGTCAAAAAGCGGAGACACAGACTCCAAGGAAAAGCGTCCCATCTGCCAAACCTTTAGCACTGCGGCACCGACAGCGACAGATAGCAGAAATAACCCAAGTGGCGAGCGGCATTCCAGGCATGATTGGATAAGAGCAAAAAGCTCTCATCCGCACTGTGACAGAGGGTAGGGCGGCCAGGACCACATGACCGCCGTCCCCCTCTCCAATGCCAGCTTGTGGACTTAGTGGAGTTTTCCCCCCTCTCGCTCTCATTTTTTTTTTTTTTTAAGCAGCCCAAGAGCCTGAAACGGCACCTTCCCAGCTGCTGCTTTTTTCCATCAGACAGGAGTGGCCCCAGCAGGGAGCTCTTGCAGCTGACTGCTGCAGCAGACACACTCTGAGCCACGCTGCCATAAATCTCTCCACATCGCGCTCCCAAGACAGTTCTTTCCACCCCGCGGGGCCCTCGGACGCTCTCGAACCAACGCGAGAGCTGGCACTGAGCACACGGAGCGAGCCACGGTATTTCCCCACCTCCACGCACGACTGAATGACGGGAGCAAAAACGCTCTGGCCCTAGGAAAATCCTTTCCCGAGCCTCGGAGGTTACAGTCCTGTTACTTATGATAGGGCCACACGACCCACATGGAATGCAAACGGACGAAACGTACTCTAAATACGGCCGCACAGCCCGCAGAATCAGTGCCCCTTTAACGCTAACTAGTTAGACCGTGATCTGCAGATCACGGTCACCAAACAGCTAAGGGAAAGGAGGACAACGTGTAACGCCGGCAGGGAGCAGGCTGTCTCCTGCTGGGGCAGCACTTAAAAAGGCGTGTGTCTGTCTGAGTTGGTGTCAGACAGACTGTGTCTGTCACTGAGGGAAGAAAAGGAACCCAGCTGCAGAAAACATTTTCTCCCATATGTCGGAAGGAAAAAAAAAATACAAAAAAATAAAATAATACACCGCCCCTCCCCACAAAAAAGAAAAAAAAAGAAGGAAAATTGAAGAAGGGTGTACATGTGCTTTTTGTTGTAAGTTAATTCAAATACCATACAGAGAAAAGACTGCCCAGAGCTGTCTTCCAGGGAGAAGTCAGCAATATTCACAGAGCTGGGATGCAAACATGGAATCTTGCTAGTTTTGCAAAGGGCCAAGAGTAGCTAAGGGAAACGGAAAAAAGAAAAAAAAAAAAGGAAAGGTCCTCATTCAAAAAACTGTCATCGGATATGTAGTTAACTTGGAAGTATTCTGTGTGTTTCAGACTGACAGTTTTCCGTGACCCAGAAACACGGGTTACTTAACAAAGAGGTTTATTTAGGAGGGAGTGAAAAATACCAAGCTGCAAAGAGGGACAAAAAGTTTATTTTAAAATCCGCAAGGCATGGCTCTGTCAACAGCTCAGGAGCCGAGGGTGTGGAGGAATTAACCCCGTGTTTACACACATGCAAACCTGTTTTCTGAAGGCATGTGTTTTAAATGCCAAAAGTGATCTGTGGGAGAGAAATGGAAGCTGGTTTGTTTAATGCTAAAACTGCCAAACACCCCTACGGTCATGCATTGTCTTAGCTGGATTAAGGGCCAAAGAGAAAACCACCAGCAGCAGCAGCTGCGTTCACTGCAAAGCTCTTCTGGGTTTGGAAGCGCTCCTGCAGTTCCGGGCCTGTGGCAAGGGCACCTCCACAGTCCCTGGGTTGGATAATGGGAATGGGAAGCGAATTTTCTATAGAGAATTTCTCTTAATAGGAGAAGACTAAGTGATGAATTAAAACACATCAGACAAGAGGGAATTTTCCCTCATCCTTGGCCCTGCCTTTACCGTAAAGAAGTGTTATTATACTCAATAAATGAGAGAGTGAGAATTAGTCCACCACTGCATCAGTGACTCCCAGGACTTTATACCACTCCACCCAACACTGCCAAATTCACCGTCTTTGCTGGGTGGGGATGGGGTGGGGAATGCCAAGAAGGGGAAACTCAGCAGACTCCCCCATGCAACTTAACATGAAAATAACTTCACCCCCAGAGCAGACCTGAATGAGTGATGCAGTACAACTAAGTATCACCCAAGGTGAAAGAAGGTGAGGTCAAAGCAAAGCCACTGAGACCCTGAATGTTTGTATCAGAAGAGCTATCCGGTGGTAGGCGTAGGCCGGAATCTGCTGGCTTTCTAATTTGGAGAACAATACCAAGCAGAGGAAATGAAACACACTCCCAGAGTCTGTAATCAGGGTGAACCGCCTGGCTGTTCAGTGCCAAGGACCTGAGACTAGGAGAGCTGTGGTTCCCTCCAAGGCATCGCTGCTGACCGCTGGAGCACCACCACTGACGGCTGTGTCTGAGTCACCAGGGCCCCAGGCCTGACCTCTCTCAGCGCCAAGGGCGGGGAGTTCGGTGATTGAGCTGCACTTGAAGTCTCCTCTGGATCAAAGTTGAGTCTACCAACCTCAAGCTATTTAGCAACTTGGAGTTCCCGTTGAGTTCTACAGCAAGAAAGGTTCATATGAACATTCATTTTAACCTAATAATACGGGTAAATTTAAGGGAAAGGAGATTTGAGGGACAATGCACCTCACTGAGTTGTAATACCACCTCCGAGAGAGAGAGAGAGCACCTTGAGCGGGCACACGAAGCTCGTTTTCACAGCCGGAACCCCTGACCCGTGGGTGCTTGATGTGGGCATTCTAGTCCGGGAACTGGCAGGATGCTTCACGCCAGGTTTGCTTCCGAACTTCCATTTCTCAAATGAAATCTTAGTTTACTACATCCAAACCTCTAAATATAATATGTACATAGCTACACATCTGTAGCTCACCCATCTATCAATCTCTGTGTAAAACAGCAGTTGGCATCAGTCTTATGCCTCAGGCACACCTTTGGTTCTTTAAAGGTACTTTCTATTAATTTCCCTTGAGGAAGTACCACTTTTAAAATACAGCTTAATTTCACCTGCTAAATACAGATTCACTTTTTGCGGTCGACGGTTAATTAGATTTTTATGTTCCCGAAGGGAGGCACCACAGATTCCCATTTAAAATCCCTGGAAGGTCTGTCTGCAGGAGTGATGGCCTCTCCATGGGCCTGCCTACCAGTCTGCATTCCCAACAGAAGACCTGGGCATGCTGTTCGATGTATCACCCGTGTGACTTCCACTCACATCAACTGTGGTTTAACCAAAAAGAATACACATACACCAATAAAACTTCTGTCCTAGCCATACAGGAATATTTGCTAGAATCACGAGCTAGTGACGGAACAAAAATAAAGTCTTCGGCGGCGGGATGTGTACTGTCGGAAGTACAGCAGAACCAGAGAGCTTTAAAAGAGGCTGCTTTAAGAATTAAGGTGTTGGTTTTTTTTTTAAAGTGAAGCAAAAACAAAAACTGGGAGCCACTTACCAATCTGTTTTCATCAAATACTTCAAACAGGAGTCTGTGATTAGATGGGTTTACCTATTGGGACAGAAAGAGTATTTCAAAAACGGTCAGAAATAATTAAAGGATGAAATACAAGATAAAGAACAGAATGCTTTGTAATGCACCCACATCAACTGTGTAATTTGAATAATTGGCTTCTTCTGGACATCCTGTATCTACTAAATCCAGTTTCCTATTATTTATTTCTGTATTGTTCTATGCCAAATACTGAGGTATATTAAAAGAAAAAAATGCTTTTAGCTGCTTTTCTACCATGAGAAAGGATAATTCTAAACAGCTGTAAAGAGTTTTGCAACCTCCTCTACAAAAGGTATGTTCATGCCCCTAGACCAGTTGATGTTCAAACTTTTTCATTTCATGGCAAATATAAACTGCTAAAATTCTGCAGCACACCAAAAAATATACTTTCTGTTGATCTGACAAAAAAAATAGGTTTAATTTTGATTCATTCATACCAGACAGCTATTGTTGCATTGGCTGTTGTCACTTTTTTATTTGACAATCTAAGAGAAAAGAGGTGAGTGCCCCTGATGAAATAGTCAGGTTTTGCAGGTTTTATAAGGTTTTGCAGCATGCCAGTTGAAAAATTGCTGCTGTAGACCAAGGTTACACCTGCACAAGGTCTACACCTAAGGATATCTCTTAGGCTAATAACAATAATAATATAACAGTAATAATTAAAATAATGAAAAAATAATAAAAACAGCTAATTACTATATTGTGCTTATTTTTTCAGGCACTATCTTCTTATTAAATATCAAAAAACACTTGGTTCCGTTTAATCTTGACCACACCCTATGATGTACAACTGTCACCCCAATCTTGCAAAGGAGGAGCTGAGGCCGTGAAGTCAATTGCCCACGAGCCCACAGCTAGCACATGCAGGGCAACCAGAACCCCAACCAGGTCTGGCCTGCTTGTCTCCAGGGCTCACGCTTTGAACTGTTAGAGAGACAAAGAAAGAAAAGATGCCCACCCCACCTTTCCAGCAACCCGTGGGGGGTCAATGTCAGAGCTAGTGAGCTTTCAGTGTCTTTTGGCTTCTTTCTGTCTTTTCCCCCACACCTCCCCAAAGTAGCAGGAATCATCATTCAGACTCAAGTATCATTTCATACCAACCAACCACATGTGAGACATGGTGGCAGGAGCTCGTGTTTCCGTTCGCACAGAAACCCCAGACACAGCCCTGTGCCCATGCTCTGTCCTACGTGAGCGGTAAGGAGCCCGCAGAGAACGTGAGTCCCTGGGTGGACTTTCCAGGGTCAGGAAGACTGCATGCTGTGGATCCTGAGAGGGGACCCCAGTCTGCTGTCAGTGAGTCCCTGCTGCTCTGTGATGGAGAACGGAATGAAATGACACTTCACGTACGGCACAGAGAACAGGACTTGTGCCTCTGGCTCCCTGGCCTGTCCCGTCCCTTGGTCTGGTGATGGAGCAAGCAGACGGAGGGAGGGTCTAGTGTCTGAGCTCCGTGAGGTGTTGAGCTGCTGACCAGCACATCCACAGGTTGTGGCAGGAGCTGGCACACAGTAGGCCTGCAGTAATGGTTTGTGGAATGAATAAAACAAAACTATGTTTGTAAAGAGCCAAGAAGAATGGAGTTTACATATGTATCTAGCCGAGATTAGCTGAAAAAGATTTTGGATGTACTAAAATTGACATAAGTGTGGCCGAGGCGTTAAACTGAAAGGGTGTGAGTAAATTTGGAATTTTACA